CCACACACACACACACACCCCCAAAGTCAAGTGCTTGTTTCTTTCCCACAAAGGCCGAGCCAGGACTTAAAGTTGACGGGTTCTGAATTTACCATAGAACCTGTAGCTCATCTTTGTTACTGGATCCACAATTAAATATTTATATATTTAATGAATTTCCTGGCAAGTAGCCAGTAGTAGTAGTAGTACTAGTCAGGTACTTTCCTATTCCTAGTCCCTTGTTTTTATACGGTGTGTCAGTATTAGTAGTAGGACTGACACTATTCTTGTAGTTTCGTATCCCTAGATCTCTGTCATTACTTGCTGTATTATTTGCTTCCGCTGTCTTATTACTTTGTTGTTGCTATTGTTTCTCTATTGCTCCATTTTTAACGTTCTTGAGCCGAGGGCCTTTCAGAAACAACCTCTCTACCTTCATAGGTAGGGGTAAGGTCTGCGCACACACTACCCTCCCCAAACCTCAATTGTGGGATTTGACTGGGTGGTTGTTGTTGTTGTTAATGAATTTCCTAATGCAAATACAATGTCTAAGCAAAAGTAGTTAGGTTCGGCCGAACATGCACCTAATAGACTCGCTCTACTCCTGCTTTCTGATATCCTCTGATATGTTCTGGATTCTATTTTATAATAAGGTTACGTTGCCTTGTAAAATGCAGCTCTGAGTTTATGACATTGCAGTAGTGGATTATGGGAGACAAATTAGGACAGATAAAAGTGACTGTTGTACAAGGAAAACGTTTGGTGATTCGGGACTTCAGGACCAGTGATCCTTATGTCATTCTCAAGCTGGGTAATCAGGTCGTTCTATGTTTTCCCCCTCTGCTTCTTCCTTATGATATTATCTGTCTCATGTTACTCAGATGTTATTTATTCTAGGACATTCGGAGCTTTTACTAATTTTCTTTCAGTTGCATACTCTGAATCCTAGTTAGCAAGTAGCGATAATGAGTTGTGATTGTCAGACCAAGTTTAATATTTTATGATGTGATGAGGTCGCAGATAAATCTATTTCTTATCGCTAGATTGTTTGCCTGTTCTCACGGGTAGAGATGGAAATCAGGGGGAGGCGGGACACTGCGAGGTGGGTAGTTTATCTGGGGTGGATGCGTCCTAAAGAGTAACAGGGACGATAATTTTGTTTTTACTTACGGAGTTCTCTTCATTTACAACAATGTATTTGGAATTAATGGTAAAATTGCCTGGTAAAGATTATACTAATACTCCTACATCTTTTATGTTGTATATCATCTCAGAAGTTTGTTGTAATTTGTGATGCTACCCTTTCAGTTTGCATGAGAGTTTTGAAAATTGCTATCTTGAGCTGACATCTGATATTACATTTTATCGTTTTACCAGACTACCAAAACCAAAGTCATAAATTGCTGCCTTAATCCTGTTTGGAATGAAGAATTTTGTTTCTCCATCTCCGAACCTGCTGAGGTTCTCAAATTGGTATATGCTTCTACCTAAACTTTTCTAACGATAACAGTTCTATTGTCATCTTACATTCCAGCTCTATATTTCCATTTTATAGACTTAAATTCAGGCAGACAATGTGCTTGCTTCTTGCAAAAGTTTTGCATATATCCATTACTTTATTTTGGACTATTGTTGGTGTAGCTCTCGGGGCTTCCCTTCTGGAAAGGGAGCCTTGGCGTAACCGGTAAAGTTGGTGCCATGTGACCAGGAGGTCACGTGTTCGAGCCGTGGAAACATCCTCTTGTAGAAATGCAGGGTAAGGCTGCATACAATAGACCCTTGTGGTCCAGCCCTTCCCCGGATCCCACGCATTGCGGGAGCTCAGTACACCGGGTTGCCCTGGTGTAGGTCTGTTTAATAGTTAGGCTGCATGTTCTGAAATGTTTAAAGTTTAAGATTGAAAAGGATATTAGCAGTTATCCATAGGGCCATCCTATGAAATTTATGATGCGGCCGAACTTCAGTCATTTCACTCTACTGCTTCATTTAGTGTATATGTTCTTCAACAATTTATCGCCTAATTGGTTGAGATAAAGCAAAAGAAGTTATGATAGATCTTTAATATGCTGGAACATATTTTCAAGGATTTCTAAGGCCTTGTTCTTCAGTGTGTAAATTATTTATTACATGAAAATGAAATCATGTCGGTATCCTGAACTGCTATCTTAGAAAAATTCTATGATATTATTTCCAAGTCGTTGAAATGCAATTTGTGACAGGAAGTATTCGACAAAGACCGTTTCAAGGCAGATGACAAGATGGGAAATGCTCAACTCAGCCTTCAACCTTTGGTTGCAGCTGCTAGATTAAGAAAGATTCTCGGGGTTGCTTCCGAGGGGACAACATTAAGGAAGGTTATCCCGGAGAGAGACAATTGTCTAGCAGTTGATAGCAGCATTAGTTGGGTGAATGGTGAAGTTGTGCAACATGTTTGGTTAAGGCTTTGTGAGGTGGAGTCTGGGGAGATAGAGTTGAAGATCAAATTGATCGATTTTTCGTGTGCTGCTCCCTCCAAGTAGAATGGATTTTAATAACATTGATGCATCACTTGTTTGAGCTGTATACATCTTGTTGTAGGTGAGAAATTATGTCTAGTGATAACCGTTGGTGTACTGCCTATGTTTGGCATCGTTTATTTGAAACTCAAGCGAATGACAAATGTGCATAAATCTAGATCTGAGTCTGTAACAGAAAAACTGGAGCGATTTAGAAAGTGGAAGGAGGAGAAACAGGTTCCATTTTTAGCAGCAATTGACAATGTATGTATTCAGTTCTAACAACTAAAGAGTGTGTTCTGGTTCCTGTTTATGAAATGGCTATTCTCTTTACTATTTTTGGCTTGAAATATGTGGTGTTGTGTATTATGTTATGAGTTAATTCTGGTGATTAAAGTGACAGTAACATGTGTTCATGCTAAGTCCTATCAAATCATTTTGGTGTAGTTTCTGTCATTTTCAACTCGAAGTACCAATTCACGAACCTTTAACTATGCAATACGAATGATCCCGACTGTCCTTGTTAATCATTATTCAGATCTCGAAAGCCAATATAAAAGAATCAAAGTCCTATAATGTTATCCCATGCTAATATGCATACAATGTAGACTTGTTTTGAGCACTCTAATATATGGCGTATTTATAGAGTAGGCTTGCTTTCACCATTCTAATTTCTTTCTTTAATGTTATCCCATATGCTAATCTATAAAGCATGCAGCTTGCTTTGAACATTTTAATTTCTTCAAATTATTAAAGCCGCGAGCTTTTTTAACTACAAGAGATCTGTTAGGATCGGGAACCCAGGTAGTGCGGAATCTATCCAAATAACGTTATAATGACAATAAAAAGACGTTGCAAGTTGATAATAATGGTAATTAAAGCATATAAAGAAGGCACCAATTTAACGTGGTTCGGTCAGTGTGACCTACACTACAAGCGGAGAGGAACAATTTTACTATAGCAACAAGAGTACAAAAGAGAGTACAAAATTAGAATAAATACTCTAATTAATCCCAAATACCTCAAGAGAATAACCTCACAAGATCACTCCAAAGAAGGGTTCACTCTTACAAAATATTCTATAATGAAAGAAAAGGAAAGGCAAGAGACGTTTTTCTCAAACATTTGGTGTATCTGATATGGACATTTGATAACCTATTTATAGGAAAATAGGATGGTCATGTACAGAATGGCCAATAGGATGGTCATGTACAGAATATCATTGGCCAACAAGGCTTTTAATGAATGGACATATAATGTCCAACAAGGTGACCAATGAAAGACTATACAGAAATCAACTGGCAATATAGCCTATGGCCAAAAGTAGGCCATATATTATAAATCTCCACCTTGAACTGGTTTTGGTGATATAATTAAATATCTTCTCCTTCTCCGCAAAATGCCCAGTGGGAGAAATTATTCTTCATAAATGCCAATCAAATTCTTAAACTTGGCAACTGGAAGAGGTTTCGTGAACATGCCAACAGGATTGTATCTAGTGTTGATCTTATGAACAGAGACTTTTTCTTCGGCAATGATTTTGTTTTAATGAAGTGATACTTGATATCGATATGCTTCGTCCTCTCATGATACATCTGATCTTTAGTCAAGTGAATGGCACTTTGACTATCACAGAAAATGGTAATACCACCTTGATATAAACTGAGTTCAGCAAATAGGCCCTTTAACCATAAGGTTTCTTTGATTGGCTCAGTCACTGCCATATATTCTGCTTTGGTAGTAGATAAAGCTACTACATGTTGTAATGTAGCTTTCCAACTGATAGCACAACCACCAAAGCAAAAGACATAGCTTGTCAGTGATCTTCTTTTGTCAAGATCACCTGCGTAATTGAGTTTACAAAACCAACTAAAGTGTTAGTATTTCTCCCAAACTCCAAACATGTGTTTGAAGTACCTCGCAAGTATCTGAGAATCCATTTCATAGCCTGCCAATGTGCTTTACCAGGGCAAACCATATACCGGCTTGCCACCTTACTGCTCGTGAAATGTCTGGACGTGTACAAACCATTACATACATAATAATGTCGACTGCACTAGAATAAGGTACCAATGCCATATACCTCTCTTCTTCCTCTGACTGCGGTAACTGAGCAGCTGATAACTTAAAATGAGCAACAAGCGGGGTACTAAATGGTTTAGGCTCTTTCACGCCGAGCCTCTCCAAGACTTTCTCCAAGTACTTCTTTTGGGTCAGGAATAGCCTGTTGGCTTTTCGATCTCTTTTGATCTCCATGCCAAAGATTTTCTTAGCTGCTCCTAAATCTTTCATCTCAAATTCACTTTTCAGTTGACTTTTCAAATTGTGAATTTCTGTCATATTCTTAGCAGCATGAGCATGTCATCAACATATAATTATCACGACCCGAATTTTCCACCGTCGAGACCGTGATGTCACCTAACGTCGCACTCGCTAGGCAAGCCAACGTTAGAGATATAATCACCATTTTCCTTTATATTTTTCTTAATTAAGATTAACAAAAGCCGATCCAACAGAAATAAAAGCGGAAGAACATATTTAAGTAATTAGCCTTATACTATTAACCAATCCGAAACAGTTACCACCCAAAACTGGTGTCACAACTCACGAACGTTCTATGAATAACTACAAACATGGATTTGAAAGAAAAATACATCTGTCTCGAAGAAAGTAAAACAGAAATGAAGTAAACATAGAAGGGGACGCCAGGGCCTGCGAACGCCTGCAGGACTACCTTGGGTCTCTTGAATGCAGTATCAGCAACCGACCTCTCGATCAGCCACTACCAGCTCCGAAATCTGCACAGAAAGTGCAGAATGCAGTATCAGTACAACCGACCCCATGTACTGGTAAGTGCCGAGCCTAACCTCGACGAATTAGTGACGAGGCTACGGCGGGGCATAACAGTATATATCCTGCAACAGTTTATACTAAGACAGAAAGGAAAGGCAGAATGGAATATAACAGTAACTTGCATTAAATAAATACTAAACCCAGTCTTTCTACCATTACTCAGCTATAACCAATCCTTAAGAGAGTTCCAACACCACAATAATGAATCTCAGCAGAAGAAGAATACATAAATAACAACTGATGCGGTGCGCATCCCGATCCCACCATATAATCAATAAAAGTATAAGCATTCACCCTTATTACTCCTTGTTGCGGCATGCAACCTGATCCCACCAGTCCACCCTTATTACTCCTCAATTTATCACCCTTATTCCTCTTGTTGCGGCGTGTAACCCGATCCCACATGTCCATCCTTATTACTCCTTGTTGCGGCGTGCAACCCGATCCCACCAGACAATCACATTTCACTCTTATTCCTCCTGTTGCGGCGTGCAACCCGATCCCATCACATTAGTACCAATCATAAAATAAAAATAAGTATTTCACAAGTTGACTCAAATCCCCCACAAAACTTATACCTCAAACCAAAACAACAAAATTCACTACAATTATGAAACTTCATCAGTTATTACTACACAGCGAGACCAACCAAAGTGTACACTGAAGCACCAATAAACCAACGGTGTGATATAATGAAACTACGGAATAATTAATAATATCAATAGAGAAACAACATTTAACAAGAAGCAATTAGACATGGAAGCATCAATAAGCAAGTAGCAATTAAGACATGAAGCAATATATTAATTAGGAAACGGGGAAGGGAACATGCTAAACAGGTAATTTGGCTACGCATAGGTGCTTGTCACCACACCTATACGCCACACACATGGTAATTCACTTAGCAAACAAGTCAGGGATCCCTAATCCCTCGAGTCAAGGTTAGACCACACACTTACCTCAAGCCAATGGGTATTTCAAAGCTCAAAGACCGCTTTACCTCTCGATTCCACCACAAATCCACTCGTATCTAGCCATAATTAACTTAATAACATCAATAAACGTTAAAGAAACCAATTCCAATGCATAATTATAGATTTCCCAACATTTTCCCCAAAAAGTCAAAAATCGACCCCGGGCCCGCTTGGTCAAAACTCGAAATTCGGACCAAAATCCAATTACCCATTCACCCTCGAGCCCGGATATACAATTGGTTTTGGAATCCGACCTCAAATTGAGGTCCAAATCCCCAAATTTCGAAATTCCTAAGTTCTACCCAAAAGCACCCATTTTCACCATGAAAAACCCTAGATTCTAGGACGAAATCTTGTGAAAAGATGAAATAGATTGAAAGAAATAAGTTAAGAATCATTTACCTATGATTTGGGGAAGAACTTGCCCTAGGATAATCGCCTCTTGAAGTTTAGGTTTTGAAAAAAGGGAGAATGAATGAAAAATCCCGTCTAAGACCCTTTTACTCAGCTGCAGATGTTGCAATTGCGACCTGAGCTTTGCAAATGCGAAGCCCGCAAATGCGACGAACCATCGCAAATGCGAAGTTCCCCACACTTCTGCTGCCTTCACAATTGCGAAGGTAATGATCGCAATTGCGATCAAGGACCTCCGCAAATGCGTCAAAAAGATCGCATTTGCGATCACACCCCTACCCAGACTCTCTTCGCAATTGCGAAGATATGTTCGCATTTGCGAACTCTGCTGGACCAGGCCTTCTTCACATTTGCGATAAAGACCTCGCAATTGCCATGCCTGTTTTGCTCGCATTTGCAAAGCCTGATCTCGCAATTGCAAGATCAGAGGCCTGCAACAGATACCAGTTACACCAGCAATTCTCTAAGTTCCAAAATCACTCCGTAGCCTATCAAAAACTCACCCGAGCCCTTGGGGCTCCAAACCAAACATGCACACAAGTCTTAAGACATCATACGAACTTGCTCATGCGATCAAACCGCCAAAATAACACCTGGAACTATGAATTCAACACCAAAACACATGAAATTTTGAAGATAGTTTCAAACTTTCTATTTTCTCAACCAAAGGTCCGAATCACGTCAAATCACTTCCTTTTTTTCACCAAATTTCACAGATAAGGTTTAAATATCATAACGAACATGTACCAGGCTCCGGAACCAAAATACGGGCCCGATACCAACAAGATCAAATCTTTTAAATTATTACATTTTCAGTCTTATCAATTTTCTTCAAAAATTCATTTCTCGGGCTAGGAACCTCAGAATTCAATTTCAGGCATACGCCCAGGTCCCATATTTTACTACAGACCCTCCGGGACCGCGGAACACGGGTCCGGGTCCGTTCACCCAAAACATAGACCGAAGTCAACAAAAATCATCATTTGAAAATTTTTCACATAAGGGCTTTCCAGATACACGTCCGGACTGTGCACGCAAATTGAGGAGAGATAAAATGAGGTTTTCAATGCCTCGGAACACGGAATCGGATTCTAA